TTCTTCAAGATAATATAAATAAGGGTGTTAAATTAACAGAATTATTTTCTGAACCATCTCTAAACTTTGGCGGTATGAATAATTAAATTGCTCTTTTTTCTGTTACATATGTATAACTTTGTTTTTAATATCTATCCATTTATGATATTTTAGAAAGTTGGACAGAATGGAGGTTAGACCATATTGTGTGTTGGATATACACAAACAGTTTGAGATATTTACCAATATTAATAAGACAATGGTGGAGCACTGCTGACAGTAAAATCAGTGTTGCCATAAATAAGATTAAAGCTCATTACGTTAGCCCTATGCTTTGTCAAGAGCAACATCTTCAGAATAAATTACATGACATTGAAAATATAGAAGTGAAAATACATCCATCATTCTGTGAAGTGACAGCCTTGTGTCAAATAGATGATACAAAATTGAAACTTAATATTACATTATCACCTAATCATCCATTAGAACCAGCTATTGTTGAGTGTGAACGCAAATGGAGCGAATTTGAGGAATTTTCACATGCAGTTGTCTGTATTTCCAACACACCAGGTAATAATAATCTATCAATTAAATTATGTTATATTTGGATTAAATAATTAAAGAAAATTTTATTTCCTTTTTGTAGAATAAATCAATATACGATGAATTTGTCTTATGGAAAAGAAGTTTAGATAAAAAATTCGTTGGTGTGGAAGAATGTTGTATATGTTTTAGTATTTTTCATAGGAATACATGTCAAATACCAAAAATATCTTGTCATACGTGCCGCAAGAAATTCTGTTTGTTTGGTAAGTTTGTTGTATTCTCTGGAATATTTAATAAAATTTTATACAATTAGTAGCTCTTCCTAAATTATAATATTCACTTTTCTTTTTCAGTACAAGTGGTTTAACACAAAGCAAAACTCATCATGTCCAATGTGTAGAAAAACATTTGAAACATATGCGTTAGAATATTTAGTATTATAATGTTTAATATTAAGAATTTCCACTTTTATTTGACTAAATACTTGATAAAACAGTTTGACTAAATACTTAATAAAATGATTATGGCTAAATAGAAATTCTTAATATAAATAGTATAACATAGTAAATTTGGCTGTACATATGTTAGATATACGGGCATTTCTTGTATATAGTAAAATTTATCTGTACATATATTAGATTTACGGTCATTTCTTGTGTATAGTAAAATTTGTCTGTAGATGTATTAGATTTACAAGCGAATATCTTGTGTATCTATTTCTAGTCAAATTGACGTTTATGGAGATACACGTGTAAACTTCAAAATTAGAAATTTGAGAAATTGATTCGTATTATTTTATTGATAAAAGTCAGCAAAAATTACTAGGAAAAGACCGTAAAAATTTTTTTAATGTTACTCGTAGAGCAAATGGACGAATGTCGTAACCTAGTGCTAATGAAAAAATGTTTTATAAATTTTTATAAAAATTAGTTTTATATAAATAGTATAAACTTTCCGTCCAGTTGCATAAATTTTTTATAAATTATGTACAGGAGAAACAATAAATTTAAATTTATAATAAATTACTGAGATCTGTTTTTTAATATTTATATGTATATATATATATATATTAATTAATAAGACTTATTTATATGTAATACTACATATAAAACATATGTTAAATTCAAAATTAGGAACAGGATTTTTAATAAATAATTATTTTTAAGTATCCGAGAGGTTTTAGACTAAGGCTTCTTAAAGTTACTCTATCAACAACAGAAGTAGCTGAACTAATATTGCGAAATAAACGTAAATATACGGTACAAGATAACTGATGATAAAACACTAATAACGTGCCAATGCCTAATGACACTAAGGCGTCAATTTGGACTCAATTCAAATCATGTAGAGAAAACTAATGTATGTAAAATATATACATGTTTGTATGTTTAAAATTTCTCATGGTTCTTTTTCAAAAAATTAGATGAATCTATTACAGTCCATTCATCAAAATATTCGTGGTTTACACACAAAACTAAAAGAATTAGGTTGTTCTATTAACTCATCAGCCATACCGTTATAATTTTAGTAGAGATTGGATGAGTGAAAATATCATTAGAAACGCTAAATTTATGCATTTACGCATAAATTTAGCGTTTTTAATTACTAATACAAAAATGAAATATTGCGTGACATTCGACCTCAGCTTCCATTTCGTTTTCGGTCTCAAAAGTTAATGACTCTAGACATAATTTTGTTGTTCGTTTGTCGCGAGAGTTGATTCTGAGATTTCAGGTGAGCACGTGCATCAGCATCGACATTTTGCACATATACCTTTCATATGTAGTTTATTACTTGGGTCGATCCTTCTTGCCCCAATAAGAGAGTTAGTTCTGCAACAGGATTTGAAAATTATGTAATGTATGTAATATATGTAATATTTCAAATGGTTAGAAACTCCTCTACAAACTCTCTTGATAAAAGAGAGTTTATTTATAATAGTTCGATCTATTGATTGTAATTTAAGTCGTTTATTTTATAATAATGTGGGACAATTTTTTTATCAAAATCAAAACTTCAATTCATGATATAATACATAGGTGCAGTATATTTCGGTATCTAATTCCCCGGCGTATATTGATTAGTATATTCAATGCATTTCAATAGTATAAATAAGATCTTTAGTTGCAATACTGTTTCTTATAGCTAATGACTGTAATCGTCCTGACATCCAATGAAAACCAAATTGAAATAGTATATTCAATAATATTTTAATAGTATGTTTTATCCGCGTTTATCAGTTATTCTGATGAATTAGTTCTTTAACTGAAATTGCAAATTTCTTTCTCTTTGATTATTTATGTTATTTAATTTATTAAATTACGAGGACCATATTCTGTATCTTGTTTACGAATTTGGTCAAAATAAATCTACAGTCTTTTGCAGAGATTCTTTCAATAGACCTATACCACTCTCCACTGTTAAATATAGACTAATTGTAAGTTATTAATCATTCCTCCATCTAACTCAATCATTTCTACAAATACAATTTTTTAAGAAGTGGACTTTCAATTCATACTAAATTATTTTAACTTTAATTTTTTCTAATTTTTTCTTTGTAATTCTTTGGATGTATTTATATAATCGATAAATTTATGAAAAAACAATTTTGACATTTGATAATTTAATCCTTACTCTGTAAACTGGATTATATCGCATCTGAATAAATTTGAAAAAGTTTTTTCTAAATAATTTTTAGCTTCCGCTTTAAAAAGAATGAAAGAATATATGATTTTAATGATGCCTACATTTGCCTCAATTTGTTTAAATAAAGCACCCAAAGTTTGTTTATATGTATATTTCGAACAAAAGAATAAATTAATATTTTGTATTAAAAATTGTTCCCTTTAATGCTATTATAAAAATTTTTGTAGTTTTACGCCATTAAATAAATCATGTAGCTATATTTTGCTCAAAAACATCTAAAAAACATACTTTTCGTTAACATTTTCATTCATAAATCTTATCTTTGATAATTAGAAAGTCTCATAAATCTTATCTTATAATTAGAAAGTTAGGAATCTTCATATTCTCAGTAAAATTATTATCGATATATATATATATATATATTAAACCAAAATTTTAAATTTTAATTTTCCAATTATCTTTTTTCCCTATCATAGTTTGTTTGAAAATTGTGATTTTTTAATCGTAATAGTATACCTTTATGTTTTTATGTATTTATAATAATATTTAAATTAATTATTCTATATCTCCTCAATATCCCGAAAATGTAGAAGTAAATAATCAAATACTATTAGGTGATCGGTTAAAAATTGCTCAAATAAATCAATATATACGTATATATTTATTGATTATGTACTTCCATCATATTTACCAAATATTATATACAAATAATTTTATATAAAGAATTAGTATTGTATACTGTATAATTATTTATCACAGTAATACTTCAAAGTCATAACAAATTTCGCATTTAAACTCTTAAAATGTAAACAAATAAGAAATATATTGCAGGTGATATTCACATGGCTGTTGCTATAGAATCATTTGTAGTCTAAGGATTAATGAATGTTGTGTGCAAAAATGTTTTATGTTTTAAACAAGATATTTCAATTTTCACAATACAAAAGGGATGATTCTACATATAAAACTAATTGTAAGTCGAAAAGATAAAAATAACATTTTTTTCATTTAAGACTGTTTTTGAAAAAATCGAATTTGATAATTTGTATTTTGTAATAACTATTAAAAAGATATTTATGTCAAAGAATAAATAAAAAATTTTATTCTACATTTTTCATTTATTTCTGCATTATAGAATAATTTTCTGTTGATTATGACTTGTCTAATCTGGAATGAGCCTAAATCAAATATACTTGACAAAATAACATAAACAAATTTTATTTTATATTTCAGCTTATTTTTTTATGTATGTTCTTATTTTTCACTCATTTCCTAGTTATACTTTAAAAATAAAGATATTCTGTCTATTTATATATTCATATAAGTTGTACATATATTAAGTATATTCATTAGATTAAATATACATACATGCATGCATACAGTAACTCTTAATAATGCTGTTTTAAATCGTAAACGTGATTGTAATCTTTATCTGACAAATTTTAAGTGATACTATGCATCATCTTTGTTACATCAATAGCAAGAAATATTAATCATGTTCAAGAATCGTGATACATATACATATAATTGCATATTTAACCGTTTCGTTATTGCTGTAATCTTTATCTAATTTAAAATCATTGCTCTAAATCTAATAAAAAATAAATAGTTTTTCTCGTCTATTAAATAGGTTGATTTAACAAAAAAATCTGTAATTTTATTTTTTAAACATTAACTGAAATCAAGTATGTCTTAATTTTAAGTCGTAGTTTTAAATTTCATTAATTTAATAAATATAAATTAATTTTAACTTTAATTTAATGATGTGTATTAAAATAATATTTCTATATAAATGAGAATTCTTTGAAATAATTTCGAAGTATATTCAGTAAAATTATAAGTATTATTTGAAATCACATTCCGTTGATTGTTTTATTATAAGAACAATGTTACTGATTTTGTTGTTACGTTAGGCATAAAAATTAGCAGAAAATATAAGATATATAATGTAAATGTAACATTCTCTGTTTCTGCATGTAAATGTATGCTCTGTTTTTAATAAATGACACAGCAAAAAATAATCGTTGTATTCTAATGTATCAATAATATGTTAGTACAAATTTGTCATAATGAATTATTGAATGTAATTTACACAATTTATAATTTGAATTATTTTTAATATAAAAAATTAACTGACTCTAACAGAAATTACATAATATATAAATATTTTTTTGTTAGATTTTGTTAATTTTAAATATTTTTTTGTTATATTTAAAATCCAGGTATTACTCGTCCTTTTTTAGCAGCCTTTTTTAACTTATTTATCTTTTTTTCTTTCTTTCTCTTTGTAATATTATTCTGCCGTTTGCTTTGCCTTTCTTGAATTCCTTTCTGTACATTTTCTAATCTAGATTCCCATTTTTTTGCACTTTGTTTTTTTTTACCTTCTTTTCTTTTTAGTCTTCGTTTAAGTAAATCTGGATCATTTTTCACCTATAAAAAATATGTTGTATAATTATTTATTTATTATTATTATTTATTATAATACTTGTCTAGGTGGTTTAGGATAGCTTTCGTTTTACAATGTGTCTCTTTTTACATCTTTCTTTCTTATTTTCTAACTCTATAACTAATTCTTAATGTCTGTATCTTATGGAAGTTTATCTATATAGTTTGTCCTGTGCTCTGTATGGTATAAACTTATAGTCTTGTAATCTACTCTTATATACTTTGATGCCCTTATTATGTTGTATAATATAGAATTATATTAATAATGGTATAATATAGAATATATAGCATTATATTTCTGAAATTTCACAAAAGAATATAGAATCTATATCTTTATTACCTTTTCACCACTAGATTTTTCCAAAACTGTTTTCCATGCATCCTTTTCTTTAATTTCTTCTACTTTTTCTTTTTCACCTAAGTTTTCCATTGCTTTTAACTTTTCTTTTTTTTGTTTCAACTCGAGCAATATTTTTTTTGTATCCTTTTTGGGTGGTTTTTTCTTTGTCCCAATTTCAGAAAAATCAAACTTACTAAATACCATGTTACCTTCTGAATTAAACACTGGCTTTGGTTTTGGAATTTTTGGTATTTCACTATCTTCTTTTTTTATTTCAAATAAGGTATCTCCATTTTGTTCTGTCTTTATTATTTTTTTTTGCATTAATCGCTCTTTCTTCTTTGATATCTTTTTTATTCTGGTTTTCAGATTTTTTTTTAACTGCTTTTCTTTATATCCTAGTCGTTTAATATTTTTTAATCCCTCTAATCTAGCATGTAGCTCTTCAAATGTTTGTGCTCTTTTCTTTTTTTCACCTAAACTTGAGAAAATATTATCTCCAATAAAAAATATAAAGTTTTAAATAAATTAAATTATGTAATATACAAAAAACAATAAAGAACAATTACCGTTTAACATATTCTTCTTCAAAGGTGTAACTAATTTATCCTTGTTATCTGAAATTGATAAAATTTCAATTAATAAGATTTTTTATTATAATTGCAAATAAGTAATTTTTAAGGTTATGCTATCTTTTTATATTCTTACCTAATGCAGATATTGGCATTTTTGAAAATATATCTAAAATAAATTTATTTTCTTGCAGTAATAACTGCTTTACAGCATTTTGATTAAACGATTTTGACATTTTTAATTGCATATTTTTAAATGTACACACGCGTAATGTTATACTATGATATTTCGAAGTAATTTCTTAAACTACAGGCACATTTTCAAGTTTCAAAAACTATATCCTCAAACATTAAAAATAGGTTAGAAATTACAACTTAACGCGCAAACTCATGAACACAGATTTCATTAAATCTTTTTATTTTAAAAACATAAAATAAAAAATATTTTTTTATTTCAAAAATAACTTGTATCATTATTGTACCTATCCAAAACCAAAATTGTGAGAAAAGAACTCCTGACTTTTTTTCTTTACATTATTTTGGTAAATATTTCAAATAAAATTTTATTCGAAGAATTTATTCGAAATTTTATTCGAAGAACTTATTTGAAATTTTATTCAAAGAATTTATTCGAAATGTTATTCAAATAAAATTTTATTCGAATAATGCCCAACCACGTATATATGTGATAAGAAGTAAATAAAACGATATTTTATATCATTAAAATTTTATTGTATTTAGTAAATACAAACCAATAAAAAAATAAATTTTCAGAAAAAAATCAAGTTATATTTAATTGTACAATAGATGCATTATAAAAGTAATTATATTAGAGTATTATAGTTGAGATATTTCTTCCATCAATTTATTTGATGTTAAAACAATAAGCTTTTTTCCATGTACATTATGCATATCAAATTGTTTCATAGTTGCATATGCGTCTTCATATGTTTTAAAATAAACATGGCAATACAATATATTGGTTTTTGGTAGACTCATCATAAGTGATATTGATATTGGATTAAATTTTTCAAAAAGATGTAACATATAATGTATAGTTAAACTTGGATGGATATTGGCTACAATTACTTCATAAGCTGGAACAATTTTCACAGATGGAGTGATGTTAATATTATGCGTTTCATATTTTTGGTCAATATGTACCAAAGCTGGAATATTTGTTTCATCAGGTATATCTTCCAATTCTCTTGAAGTATTAGTAACTGCCGATGAAATAGAAGTATTTGAAGCAAATTTTTTTAAATTTCTAAGTCTAATACGCTGTTCTGAAGATAATTTTGGTATAGGAGAGAGATGGTTAGTTTTGTTTTTACCATCTACATCTACATCATCATTAAAGTTATCCTTACTAGATGATTCTGACAAATTACAATTAGATTGATTATCTGTTTGCGTATTTTGAGACTGTTTTGTTGATGAATAGGTACTAAAATGATTATTTTCTTCTGAATTATTTTTATAAATATTTTGTTTAAACATTCTTTTATCCTGTGCATTAGCATCAACATCTTTTGCTTCGATATTAGTATTAATATCAATTATATTAGTTTTTATTTTATGTGGCAAAATTTTAATAGATGAATTGTTTCTAAAACCATCTATGCATTTCTTTGCATCTTCAACTGTTTCATATCTTACAAAACATAATCCATTACTTTTCCCACGATTATTCACAGACACAATTTTGCCAAAAGCAGAAAACATTTTAGTAATTTCTTGTAAACTCAATCCTTTGTTATTAGGGAAATGTATAACATATCCATTTGCTCTTTTGTCGTAATACTTTTCATACTCCATATTTATTATTCAAATATATATCAATCACTGGCTTTAAAAGAGCTAAAATATATTTTCACGTATAACCTATTCTCAATCTAGTAATGCACGTTTTTTATAATTAATATTACATTGATTTTTAATATATACAAATGTGTGTATATATATATATATATACATGTACAACATATATAAATGAAATCACACTAGTAAATAATACTAGTAAATAAATGTATTACAATATATAAAATACGTTCGTATTGTTTATAAACTTTGAAACTGGAGCAATGTGAAAACTTAGGAAAGATGGTAGAATATAAAACGTCTGTTGTAAACTTCACATTGGTTCAATCGTTAAGATAATAAATCATGGGATTAATATGTTGTGTGTATATTCATTAAATAATGTTACAAAATAATTATCTTTTATATTTTAATATTTGTTAGAATATTGAATTATCGCTAAATATCACAATTGGATATTCGAATGTTCCCGCGTTATAAAAATGGCTGATATGCAGCCATGTTTGTATGGACTTGCGCGTTATGATCTTCATAATTTACATTTCCCTAAGTACGAAGTACCTTCGTTTTATTTATACGGTATTCGATAAGGCAAGAGTACGATCGAACATTTAGTTTTGTTTAATTTTTTTTTGTAAAATACTACATAGTAATGACACAAACGTTTTTGATTAAACATAAGTGGTGACAAAAAAAAAAGAATTTGGGGGAATGGGCGGAGTTTGCGCTTGTTGCAATATAAAGTTAAAGAAGTTGTTTTACGAAAAATTTTGTTTCTGACGTTGCTCGATTAAATGTGCTCGAAGAAATCGAAAGATAATTTTATACAGCTCGAGGAAAATTGAAAGTCGACGAATATAGGTTAAGAGAATAGGATTAGGAAAAGCGGCGAAATCACATCATAAATAAAGTGAATGCGCACGCGGACAATAACATGGGTGAAGAAGCGAGGAAAACGCTTTAAAGGAAGAAAGAAGGAAATGAGTCAACCGTTCTGATTGGTCGAGGCGAATATTATGGCTGCCGATTGGCGCACGCACGTATGCACACTAGATTTCGATGCACACACAAATGCACGAACACGCGCGTGTATCAGGAGCGTAGCAGTCGCTCGCGGCCGAGAAGAGTGAAAAGAGCGACAGAAACGGTCGGTCCGCGCGTTGCCTTGTAAGGCGGAGTTGGTGTGTGACGTCCGTGCGCGGATGGCTCGAAGAACGCCGATTTTCCTCAGCTTGTACAAGTATTCTTGCTGAGCAGAGGAAAGAACCAGTGAAAGGAGAGTGCAAACCGGACCCAACGCCGACCGTCGACATAACCGCGTATACGTAAAATCCGACAATCCGTCAAGTTTAAAGCTGCCGAAGGCACTATTTTCATCATCTCTATAGTGTGTATAGCAAACTAGAAACCGATTATTAGACGTAACGTGAGTGTTCTTGAACCAGCAAGGAAATATAATAGTGAAAAAAGGAACGAGTGGAAAAGAGGGAAATAGAAGTAAAAAAAGGATAACGAAGGGCATCGAAAGAGAAAAAGAGTGAGAGATAAAGAAAGAGAGAGATAAAGACAGCAAGAAAGGAGAAAAAAAGGGAAAAGTGAAAGAGCAAGCAAGCGAACGAATAACCGAGGTCGAGAAAGAGCGAGGAAAAAGGAGAGAGAGAAAGAAAGAGAAATAGAGACAGAGAAAGAGAGTGAGAGAGACCGGGAAAGAGAAGCAAGAACAAGTTAAAACGCCAAACGATACGTAAGAGACAAAGGCCACGGCGGCATAACCTCCAAGCCCAACCGTACGGCGCATTACGAGGATCTCGTATCCTCATAGATCGCCTCGTATTCTCAAGAAATTTGGTACATTATTCATGAAAGATTCTATTTTTGCAAATGCATGCCTGCTCGGGCTTCCATATGAAGTATCGCACGAGTGAGAGAGAGAGAGATAGAGCACGTGCGTGAAACATATTTTCCTTGAGATACAGGAACCGTCATAAAGCGAAAGAGCGGGACGGTTGTTTGTACAGTCGCGTTTTTTCGCGACACCTGGTATACGATATACTTACATTCGCGAGTGTTGTGTAAACGAAATTCACTCTCTGCGACGGGAAATACAAAGAAAAAAGAAAAAAAGGAAGGAAAAGAAAAAGAAAAAACGGCGGATAATATTCTTAGTGCTGTAGTTTACAGTTGATGGATGAAACTGGCAGAATGCTACAACACGGAGGATCAGGTGTTGGTCTGATGGGAGGAAACCAGGGCCAGGGGGCCCAAAATACTGCCGGATACGGTAGCATGGGACCTGTAGATGGAACTGCAACACAGGGACCGGATCAGGCCGTTGAAGCTAGAAAACAGGATATCAGTGAAATTCTCCAACAAATAATGAATATCACTGATCAGAGCTTGGATGAGGCGCAAGCGAGGTTGGTCCCATTCGTGATCAGCCGCCATTTTTTAATACTTCTGAGATGTATCGTTACTTTTTTTAATAGTTGTACCAAATTTCTCACGATATCCATTCATCTAATACGTTCTTTTTTTTCTCTTTCTCTTAATGTTTCTTCATGTTTCTTAATGTTCTTCACAATATTACATCAAAATCAATCTCTTCAGATACAATTGATCTTTCTCTTTAACTGTTGAAGCATTTATTATATATAAGCGTAACAAGTTACGACAAATATAGGTTATATTCGTCATTTTACATTTTTTGTTAGGATTTTCGTCGAGAAGAATGAACATTGTTTTAATGAGTTATTATAGTCTGGTAACTGTCAAATGCTAATTATTAAGTAATGAATATAGTACTTCAGTAATTTGTAATGGCGAGTTATAACATAAGTCATATATAGGCATTCGAACATGTGATAAGACAGTTATCTTTGCATTATTGTTAGTTACGCGATTGTACAAATTTACAAAAATGAGTGTGCCAAATAGATCTCTATTTTCTTTATAATGAATGGCATCATATAAATTTTTTGTTAGTGTACAATTTATATTACACAATTTAGATTTTCTGTTCTTTTTTTTCAGAAAACATACTTTAAACTGTCACAGAATGAAGCCAGCTCTATTTTCGGTTTTGTGTGAAATCAAGGAGAAAACAGGTAAGTTTCACTATTTATTATTATTGTTATTATTATTACTATTATCATTCGATTGAGTTTCTTGTGAAGAAACGGATAACAATATTCACTGGTAAATATTTATTGGAATAAATTTAACAATTACTGCTATTTACGGAGTTCTTTCAAGTTCTATATTAGTAATTATTGTTTATCGAAACTCACAATAAATAATGCAAATGATATAGATGCCATTAAGGTAACAGATACATCATACAAGAACGGAAGATCACCTCGTAACTCGTATGGCACTTTCGATAGTTCAAACGAATTCTAAACAATCTAAGAAATTCCTAGAAAGAGATCCCTATCTAGATGAGAAAAGAGAGACTGTTGATACGTTTTCGGCATACAGTGTTTGCCCTGCGGGGTCGACCCCTGTACCCATTCGAAACTCGTAAACATAATTTTTATGCGATGTTTGGATTACTTTTACGCGCGGATCAAGAGACCACGAAACGTGCAATTATTTTTGGGATGCGAGGGGTGGCTGGCTTGGCTCGAAATGCCTTGGGGGATGGGTAGGAACCGTGGAGACAGGGATGAGACGGAGAAGGAGGTGTGTGGGTCGGCTACCCCAAAAGTAGTTTCTGCCTGGTCGTATGATGGGGGTGGTGGGGCCACCACGCCCCTCATGCTAAGTCACCCTCTTTCACGTCGTTCCACTGTAAGTATATGTGTATGTCTACACACTCTTTTTTTTTTTTTATTTTTCTCTTTCGTTTCTACCTTTTTGAGTAGCTCGCTGGTTTTCTTCTTTCTCACAGCGAGAGTGGTATCGTATTGGTCAAGGATTTCGTCGTCGATGACACATTCCACGTACGGCGTCTACTATATACTTCTCTGATAAAATTCGAAAAAGGAACGCTATTCTTAGTTGCGAAACGATACTTGTTTTATGGGTTAGAAGGTGTTACCGTTGATCAAATTTCTACAAAGAGTTACTTACCTCTTAATTTATTTTTAACATTTGGAGAAATAGAAATCGTTCAATCCTGTTTACGTTCGTTGAAAAAGAAGCAGATGCCATGTATTTTTCTATTGTATTGCAAGTGCATAATTAAAAATTCAAGGTTGTTGTAATTATTGATTACGTACTGGCCATGTTACGTTCCACGCGATTGTTCATATTGGCAGCATAGTTGTTTAAAAAAGCGTTTAACGAAACATTTCACCAGACTTGAATAGCCATCCTTAATTACATGAAAGAACTCTTTCGATATCTGATATAGAACGTGAAACAGTTGAGAACGTAAAGAGGAGTTATGTAAACAAAAAAGGCGTCAAAGTATGATGAGCATATTCAGGAGGATGAGTCGTTTTAATGGTTCTATATTCTTCATGAGTTGTGCTAAGCGTGTTTTCGCGCAGACACATGGGCGCGCATGTACGCGTAGGTCAGACGAAGGTACAGAGAAAAATGTATAGAGTAGTAGAGAACAAGTAACGGGGGATGAAGAGGGAAAAAGAGGCAAGGCTTGTAGTAGAGTTTATGGGCAATGGCTGACGAGGCAGTGAAAAAGTACTAAAACCAAGAGGAGCAGATAAACGCTATGTTAAGCAGACCGTTTTACCAGCCATTTAATATAATCGGCTCTCTTGCGGAGCTCGGATAACTTCGGATCAGGACCGTACCAACTCAGATTTCTCCCCATTCGACATTTTTTTTCCTCTTCTTTATTCACAACTGATAAACGTCGTACTGATTTGTATCCGCATTATCACCGTTATATTTGATTTCTATTACTCGCTGACCGATTCGATCTTATTTCCATCTTTCAGTAATTCGTTCGCTCGTTTGCTCCTTATAAAACGATTCAAATTTCAAAATATTACGAACATTCTGCTTATCGAAATAGAAATGAATTGCTTCTCTGTTTATCTAATCGAAAGATTTATTTTTAATGGAAACTCTCATTTGAAAATCTTCTATCATGGCTTATAGTACCCAGAAGTTAGTTCGAAGTTTGTTACTCTCGTAGTGACGATTCGTCATGATCATTCGAAACAGCTACTTTTCGAAACATCGAAAACCTGTTTTGGACAACCTTGTTTAGGTCGATTTCCCATGAGGGGCACGAAGATCCTGAAGGGTAACAGAAAAGAAAAGAAAGGAATCCGTAGGATTTCTAGAACCCACTTTTCTACAAACCCTTAATCCGTTTTTCCTTTTCCTCCGACGTTCAGAGATCTTTCCTTTGGAAATAATTCCTCACAATGGTATAATCGTCGACGCCACATACCGTGCCTTTCTAAAAATATTCTCGCCACGTGAATCGAAACGTAGGGTCTTTTTAAGAAAATACTCGAACTTCTATATCTCTCAAATTTGATTCAAATGAATATAAAATGAAATGTAAACGAATTGGAACGACAATACTTCCTACGTTCTATTATTGGACTAAATTTCAAAACAGCAAATAGCTAATTCATATGAACGGTCGCGTGCGAGACATGTAATTAATCAAAGACCGGTTGCTATCGATTGCTAGCTTGGTTATACGATTGGTGGTCAACTTTATTGTTTGTCAGCGCGCGTAACGTTACGTGAGTTTCGAAATGCAACTTGACTGCAATCGGTTACATAGCTCTCTTCCTTCCTCTACCATCTCTGTCTCGTTGTCAGATCTTTCCCTATCTCTTTCGATTTATGGTCATTTAATTAAACCGACACGGAGACTGCGTCGCATCGACTGCGTTATTCTCGATTCCGTATTTCTAAAATGACACTATCGTGGTCGCGTTCTCCCGTAACAATTAAAAATCCATATTTAATTTGGCTGCTTTCCAGTGGTAATTTGGTTCTATTTCGCACATCCATGTATGTAAGTGTTTTCGTAAAAGAATCTTTGAACCAAGGTATTGCTGCTTTTTCAAAATTCTTTGTTCGATAGTGAATGATAAAATGCCAAAATTTAAAAAAAGTCTCAAAATTTCTTGTTGATGTCCGAAAAATTCTTTTTGCAAGGAAAAATATAATATCACTATGCATATAAAAGATATTTTTTTATATATATAGCGTCCGATAATTGGTGATACAATCGCATACGGGATGATTCGAACGTGAAAAAATAAGTCGGGAAAAAAAGAATTACATTTTTTTCATTTAAGACTTTGATTTCAAGAAAATTGAGTTTAAAGATTTTTCAAATACATATACAAATATACAACATACATAGACTTGAACCTAGTTAATTTATTTTATTTTATTAATTTGGAATTCTACCTGCGAAAATATGTAAACGAATAATGTAGAATAAAACATGTTTAGTTGAGAATTGGCCTAATAATACTTACTAAATTTTCAAATTTAGTTTTCCCAAAAATGAAGTCTCTTATGAAAAAATTCTACACTTTTGATTTATTTTCGTAAGTAGAATAATTAGCTATCTGTTATTCGTTTTTAACTAGTCCAGAATTAGCTAAATTTACTTAATAAATTTTCAAACTCGACAACAGATTCTTAATTTTTTTTGGAAATTCTGAGAAAATTTTAAAAATGAAAATGAAAAAATTTTATTCTTTTTTTTTCAGTTTGTTTTTTCATGTAGAATTAATCTTTGCTCAGTTGTGCCACTAGTTGCAGGATGCTCTGTGTAAAAGTGATTGTTTCAACTTTTTAACACAATATGGATAAAACTTAGCAATATAAATAAACACGACGATGCGCGTTCAATTTTATTGATACATTCGAAAAGTAATTAACATGCTACTCTACAATTTTCCTAATGAACATCGTGTCCTGATAAGAGTAAACTGTATGTTCTACGTTAATTAGACAGCGCACACTTTAATTAAGACTTGCGCAATGTTCCGCATATTTGTTTGTCTCACGCGATTCCACACGCTATGCTACGGTAATTCGTGCATATGTAGTTCTTTTTTTATAGGTAGTCTTTTTTTATATGTAGTCTTTTTTTATATGTAGTCCTTTTTTATATATATATACCGGATGAATCACCTAAGAATAGAAATTGAAATATTTTGAAAACGATCAATTATATTAAAAAATATTTTTGATAAGAAGTACATTTAATTAATATAATCGTCATTTTTTAATGTGAATACATAAAAGGCCAAGTTTAATAGTCAAGTTTATTTCTTTGTAAAAATTGTAGAGTAGCATGTTAATTACTTTTGAATGTATCAATAAAATTGAACGCGCACATCGTCGTGTTTATTTATATTGCGTTAAAAAGTTAATAATTAAAAAGTTGAAACAATCATTTTTACACAGAGTATTTTGCAACTAGTGGCACAACTGAGCAAAGGTAATTGAAAATTTCATTCTACATGAAAAAACAAACTGAAAAAAAAAATAAAATTTTTTCATTTTCTTTCTTTAAATTAAATCATGTATTTTTTAACTTATCTCGTCATTCTTAATAAAAAAGCCATTAATTCAGGAAATTTTTATTCAAATAATTCGCAGAACATTGAATTTATCTGTAATAGCAACATTGATAATAACAGAAGATAATGTAACGTTTATTAATAATATATAATATGTACACACACACACACACACACACACATATATATATAAAAATTTGTTGCATTTGTACTTTTCCCTTTATTATAGTTTTGATAAAAATTTTTAGTCTCTATCATTCTCTCGGCTATTGTATTTGCTGGAAGATTTTTTTTCTATTCCAATCATCGCAGGTTAAGATGAAATTTTTCTTTTTCCAATACAATTGTGATTAGTGATCAATTATCAGCGCTCTATCAACTATTAGCGATTCGTAATGTTTCTTCGTCACAGAGACTGCCGCTAAATGAAGCATCGTATTTGAAGGAAATAACGTAATTTACTTGTTTGACGTAATATGCGTCGTACATTATCATTTAACGCGTTATTCCTCGTAATCTGATTTACGGAAATTATATCGCAGATCGGGATTAAAATACTCTCGCGTTTGCGCGGTTCCTGTTATCTGATCGCAGTCCATTTTATAATTCGAGCAGAGAAATTTTCCAGC